TATTTCCACATGACTAGTCGTTCTCTCTCTCTCTCTCTCTCTCGCTCTGATGACAGAATAGTGAAGGAAGATGCTTTTGCACCGGTCAATGGACTTCAATAAGGAGAACCCTTACTCAAGCAGCTTGCGTCTCACGCGGTTGTCCACCCCCGAGAGAATTTCGTTTTCGTTCCGTTCAGTGGACCGTGGCTTGAGAGATGTCATCGTTCCTCCTCACTTCTGCTGCGTGTTCGGTCGTCCACGTTTAAAGTACTCCACCAGCATTTCCGAGACAGTTGCTAGGCGTACAATTGCATTAAATCTGGAAAACGATTTCAAACGTTTCCCGCCGTGGCAGTGGGTATTCCAGCCTCAGTAAATGATGCCTTATAGTTGCCTCCAGTTGGCGTTCAACGGCAGTTAACGACCGGTGCGATGTTCTTGATGTAGGACGGTGTCCTACGAAATTTCGGGCCAGTGCATCTTGTTCTCTCACCTCGTTTGAGCATGCACCGGTTGACGAAGTCGTTCGTGACTTTTCAGATGGTTGATGTTGATGTTCAATACCTAGGTCGTAAATATCGATTCACAGAATGCTAGTTTACAGACCACCGTATTCGAGATGGTGCTTTTGAGTGGTTTTTTCTAATATCAGCATTTGGCCGTTTCCGACGGCGGCAGACGTTCCTTTTGCTTTCCTTACTTTTTATAGGTTGCGAAATCTTCAACCTTCCCGAAAGGTATCATTTTAGATACATAAGGCAATCTATTGCAGCCTTAGTCATCAAAGTCCGATAAGAATTTTTTCGCAGATTTCCAGCTAGTACATACAGAAGGTGTACTAACTTGTGAAATGCGTTTTCGATTTGGAAAGATTACTAAAGAAGGACTTTAAAGTTAATCGTCATACAGCATACTTCTATAATAATTCCGATTCCCTACGATGCCGGCGTTTAACCGAATTCGTTTCGGCCGCATGCAAAAGCCACACTATTTAAAAAATTACTATTTACGTAGAATGGATTTTTCTAGTGGATTTTTGATGCCCTTAAAAATGCAATTAAATTTCATGAAAGACATGCATAAGGATATTCATTCTTTTACTCATTCGGTAAAAACGTACGCCTACGTCCACTTGTATGCCTAAAGATAATGCATAATTCGATTTTAAACGTTTTCAACCTATGCAAGGAATATTTATGATGCGCATTTTCCGTGAAATATAATTGAATCATTAGGGACATCGAAAATCAACGCGACACATGCATGCTACGTAAGCAGCCATTGTTACAGGGTGTGGTTTTCTGAAGGCGGCCAAAAAGGTGTTTGTTCAAAGGCCAGAATCTTGAGGTAACGGAATTAGTGTAGAATTATGCTGCATGGTGATGAATTTCGAAACCCTATTTAAGTAGTCTTTTCAATACGAAAACGCAGTTTAGAATTTCGGTTAACATTTTATGATTTAGCACACTTACATTTAGAGAGACCCAGATGCATTGACGCTATCAACAATCGAGAACGTTTCTGTGAACTATTATATAGCGTACAATTCTTCATGTCCTTTTAAAACGGCATATACATTGAGCCAAATGGTTATTTAAGTTGCTGTCAATTACTAAAATATAGCATTTGAGGCGATGAATTTTATCGAATAATTAAACAGAAAGCACGCATGTTTTCCTTTCGAAGTTAATGCCTAGTGTTCAAAATATATGCACTAATCGACCTGTAACCAGGCCCTCAGGCTGACACCTAGACCGCTGTCCTAATGCAAAGACGTCCGCGTACTCGATGTCAGGCGATTGAGGAAGGTCACCGGCTAGCGATATCAGGCTACAAATGCCCGGAGATTTTTCACCAATTATCGCCTTCCTACAGTACTAGGCGCGTTTACGCGTAATAGGTGTTTACTGGGGATGTCATTTCTGCGCATTCAAGCAAGGTCCGCCAGTCAAACATGCTGTTCTGTTTACTGTACATTATGCGTCATTTGATCACTCGCCTCGTAATCTTGATTTTTGTCGTCTACGAAACGGTTCAGGTGTGCGGGGCTAGGAACCGTCCTTGCACGGGCCGCGACAACCTATCAGATGACAATATCGTGCTCCGAATGACATTTATAACACCCTAACGACTGTTCCTCGGCTTCTCCATCATGTACTGACAGGAAAGTTAAGTCAAGGCAACTGATGGTGTGGGAGAGGTACATATAGAATTAGCATCTTTATGCACGTCTCCTACAAAATACTTTCAAAGTTATAAAAGCATGGAAAATCAATGACAAAATTCATGCTACTTATGTAGCCACTTTTTGAAGTGTAGTTTTCGCAGACAGCCGGCAGAAGGTTCGTTTAAAAGCAGACATCCTAAATTAACTGACTCATTATAGGATTGTGTTGCATAGTGATTAATTTTGCTACCCTACCTTAGTAATCTTTTCGAGTCTCAAACGCATTTCACGATTTCGGTTAACGTTTCATGAGTTAACACATATACTGTATCCCGTGAAATGCGGATCGAAATTCCAACGTGCGTTTTCGATTAGACGTAAAATGTAATACTAATTAATGCATGGTATAATCTAACTTCTGAGTAATTTGAAATCCGACCTGCCAATGCTCTTACGTTTTGTATTGCTAAAGCCACAATTTGTATGTCCCCCACGTAATTGAATTCATAAACTTCCTAATGCTATTAAAATAAACCTTAAGTGCTAATAGAACTTCGTAAAAAATGTTGACTATGCTCCATGTTTTATGTTGAACATTTAAATGCGGATATATATATATATATATGATGTTATTCATACGTCCCCGGAATGCCATGAACAGCCTCCTTTGCTGACCAAGAACTCGCAGCTCTGAAAACGAAACATATCAAAAACGACTGAATTATTTGTTCAAACTGTTTTCCTAGAATGGGTATCCTAGATATTTTGTGCACTTATGCATGAGACGACAGAAGTAAAAAAAGGGAGAAGGAACTAGATTGTTCCGATCAGGCCCCCGAACCAAAAAAGTGGCGAACACTTCCGCACATTATGAATGTGTCCGAACTAGTTGAAAGACGCCTGAGGAAGCACCGAATATATCTGGCGCACAAGCCGACGACCAGCTTGTACACCCTAAGGATAGGGTTGGCTATTTAGATAAGAAGGAATTCGTCTATAAGATACCATGCAACACCTGTAATGCGGTTTACTGTGGTCGAACTGAGAAATCGGTTTCTACACGAATACACGAACATAAGTTGGCCGTAAAAGGACGAGACCACTTGTCCCAAGTTGCCATGCATACGTTGGAAACTGGACACAAATTCGCCTGGGACAGGACTCGCATTGCAGGTGTCTGCTCATCTAAGAAGGGCCGTGAATTTTTAGAGGCCACTCATTCTGATAACGCATGCTCCAACCGACATGTAGAATTGGATAGATGTACAACAGCCTCAAAGAAAAGTGAAAAAGGCAGTAGCCAATCAGAACATTACGCCAGCAGGAGTGACAGGGCAAAATCGATTTTTAAGACATGTTGAAACGTTAACTGTTTCACACACTTTACGTCTGAAGACGACTTGGGGAATGAAGGTGGAAAACTTACAATTAAACCTGTTTATCTTTCCCAAAGAGCTTATTTCTTTCGAAATATAATGCTATTTGATTAAGCATTCAGTTTCACAAACTATCAAATTATTAGAATCTTCTAACAGCTGGACAGCTCAGTTAAAAGCTTTATTAATTCGTCACCGTAGGATCTGGTAGGATATTCATGTAATGGTTGTCAAACGATAGCCTACAAGATGCATCAACTAGAAGTAAGAAATCTGAAGGAACTTATACACAAGACTGTTTCTTCAGAGGGCCGCCCGGTGTTATCTACGCAGAGGCTAACTCGGAGTAGAGCGAGAGCCATCCAGCGTAAGGAATCCCCAGAAAGCAATTATGGGGTGAATAAGACAACTACTATTAGTAATCAAGTCGTGGCTTCCGATGAAAAAAAGAATAAGAGGAAGAAGACGACACCTAACACCACAGGGAAAAGTCGCCAGAATACGAAAGAGAGTATATTAGCCTTACCCGAAAAGCGGTTGGAAAATGAAACGAATGTAAATGTGCCAACGGAAGAAGTGGAAGTAATGGGGCAGATGACGCCCAATCTTAATAATTCCCAGACAGTGTTCTCATTTCCTGAGCCTAACTTAGAGGGATTATCAGTTAGCGCAAAGACATATGGCTATGGACCCAGGGTAGAATTAGCTGCCACCGCGAATTCCCATGTCAACAGAGTCAAGAACCGAGCAGAGGAAGCCTCTAGTTCATGGGGGTCAAGCTCTCCACAGAACCCTCTGATGGGAGGTATTGTTGATAGATCACAGTGTGCAACTATTCACGATGCCTTAACAGGATCCGCGGACGAACTTCACGGGGACATAAATACCAATATGGCAGCCCCTTCCTCTTCTCCAGTCCACTTCGACGAGGCAATAAGGCCAGCCAACGACGTCCAAATCGCAGAAAACAGAGGAATGCTTAACAAGGACCACTGTGTCATAATTCAGGGCCTCGCAGAGTCCTCCGCCAGTTCCCCCAGGGAACGAATCGCTGCTGACTTAGAGCAATTCCAGAAACTCCTCAATGAAATGCTGCAACCAACAGAAGATGTCACAGTCCTAAAGGCGTTTCGTCTTGGTAGCCGTACAAATGCCGCTCCGAAGACGCGACCACGACCCCTAAAAATCGTCCTTGGTAGCAATGAGCAGGCGAAACTAATACTTTCCAGGCGTATTCGATTGAAGCATTCCCGTAAAGAAGTGTTTTTTCAGCCGGACTACTCACCTGCCGAGAGAATGAAACGCCGCGAACTTGTCCTAGAATTGAGAACACGGCAAACCAACGGAGAGAAAAACTTGACAATCTACAAAGACCGGATTGTCAAACGACATTCCGCTCCCCTCTGGATCGAGCCGATCCGAATGACTGCACAGCTACCCCAGTAGCCCGTGTCGGGTTTGAAAACAAATCTCGCATGAACTCGAAACTCATATTCATGTATACCAACGCGCAAAGTGTACTTTATAAACTGGACGAACTCCGTATCCATACCTACGACCTCCATCCAGATGTTATCTCAATAACAGAAACATGGTTGTCCGAACAGGTTGATGATAGAGAGCTCATGCTCCCTGGATTTCAACTGTTCCGCCGAGACAGAGAAAACAGAATGGGTGGAGGCATAATAACATTTGTTAAGAACGGCTTGCACGTTTCAGAAAAAACTGCCCAACTGACTTGTAGTACCGAAGCATTATGGCTGACCATAAGGGCACCGGGCTCTCAAAGTCTCGATATCTTGACAGTATATCGCCCCCCGAGAAATGACCCTGACGCTGATGCCCAACTGCTGGAGGAGCTCAGATTATTTTCAACGCGACCGACCACTCTCATCGTTGGAGATTTTAATGCACCTCACATCGACTGGAGCTCGGCCTCAGCCGACTGCTCTGAAGCAGCATTTGACCAGCAGCTACTGCGTACCTCCGACAACCTGCTTCTCACACAACACGTAATGTTTCCAACTAGAGTTCGAGAGGGCCAACAGATGAACTGCCTCGATCTTGTGTTCACCAAGTCGTCTGACAACATCGACGTTGTGAATTGCCTCCCCCCGTTGGGTCAAAGTGACCATGTAGTTCTCATGTGGGAATACACGTTATTTTCCCTTCCTACACAACCGCTCGATTCCCGACCCAATATTTGGCGCGGAGATTTCGAACAGATGAAAAAGGATCTTAGTCCTATCGACTGGGCATCCACTCTCTCCAGCGATGTCGAAGAGGCTTGGTGTTAGTTCAAAGAGTTAGTCCACAACCTCATCTCCAACCACTGCCCAATCATGCGCAAAAGACTAACAAATAGACCTCGCTGGTTGACTCCGTCCTTAAAGAAGGAAGTTAACAAGAAGAGGAAGCTATGGAAAAGATCGCTGACGGACCGCACGCCAGAATCCCCCTTAAAGAAGGAAGTTAACAAGAAGAGGAAGCTATGGAAAAGATCGCTGACGGACCGCACGCCAGAATCCCTAAGCAGTTATAAGTTACAGAGAAATCGGGTCAAAATTCTCATCGCCAGAGATAGGAAAGCTTTTGAAAAGAATCTTTTGAACCGTGCCATGATTAATCCAAAAATCCTTTACAGCTACATAAGACAGAGCACACGGAACAAAGATCCTGTCCCACTGCTGCGAACGGCTGAGGGTGTGGAAATCTCCGATGACAAGGATAAGGCTGAACATCTCTCTCAGTTCTTCCAGTCAGTCGTGACAAGTGAACCTGCTTTTTCCTCACCCGCGTATGAAGACGATGAAACGCCTACCATCGAAGCCGTCTTCTTCACCGAAACAACTGTTCGGAATGAGTTACTAAACCTAAAAGAATCGACCTCCCCAGGCCCTGATGCAATCCCGGCCAAGCTGCTGAAGGAACTAGCTTCCGAAATGTCCAAGCCGTTAGCCTTGATCTTTCAAACTTCATTTTTTACTGGATGCCTGCCCTCTGACTGGAAGTCCGCTACCATCACTCCGCTTTTTAAGGGTGGAAGTCGTGCGTCTGCGAATAACTACAGGCCAGTGAGTCTTACCTCCATCTGTTGCAAAATCATGGAGAAGATCATTAAGAA